GCCTTTATGTCCCCTTTCCCCCCCCCCCCCCCACGCCACCATTGGCCATCTCAGAGAGACAATCCACCTCATTCCCCTTCCCTTTTTCTAGCCTAGGACTAGCGCCATGGTCCGAAGAGGGTGTATTCACCCCAGGCTGGAGCTTCAGCTTCCTCCTGTGGAGTCAGAGTCTCTACCTTAGCTGTGACGGTCCAATAAAGGTCTCCACCTGAGCTCTAACTCTAGCCAGGATGGATTCCAGTACCTGCCTGATCTCTTCCAAAATTCCCCAGAAAGTCCTTCCTACTACTGCTGGGGGGAAAACTGCGCTGTAGGGGACTTTTGGTTAGAGTGTTTCAGCTCAGGATTGACCTAGTCTGTCCCTGGCCTTTGTGACCAGAACTGTTGAGGTGAGATTTTCTTGTGTCTCTGAAGGCAGGGAGCTCATCTCCTGGTAGAAATAGCTTTGCAGAGGTTTTTAGATTCATTGCTGGATGTGAGATCTGTGGCAGGCATTGCAGGGAGGTCAGGATGTGAAGGCTGTATCCGCCTCCTCCACGCTGCACTTTGTTGTGCTGGTCAGAGGCCAGACTCTCCATGGATAGGTCATGCTGTAAGAGCAGGAGGAAGGGACAGGAGTCTGATAACTAGTACCTAGTATGTATGGGACACTTTGTTGAGTGCTCTTTAGGGGGAGGTCTTGGGGAAACTCAGTTGCACAGAATTGGATTAGTCACAGTCTTTGGTTCATGGCATGTTCTGATCTTTGGTCTGTGGCCTTTATATTTGTCTTTAATAATAGAATATGTGATAATGTCATACATCTTGAGTGCTTTTCCATGCCTTTAGTGCATCTTATCCACTCAACCACTTTAAGAGTGAGGGAAATTATGATGTCCTCATAAGTGAGAAAAATAGAATCTTAGAGAATGTGGCTTGTACCTCCAATAGCACAGGATGCAAACAGCAGGGTAGGTATTGAGTCACTTCCAGGAGAGTTCTATTTCCAGGAATGACACATTGTCCCTCAGCTGACCCCCACGGAGGCATTGCTGGATATTTTATGTTATTACTTCTCGTAATACATGGTACACTTTCCACTTCCTGTGGACAGGGAATTCTTTGAAGTATTTCCTTGTCCTAACTACTTACTCTAAGGTGCAGGCTTTTGACTTTCTCTGGCCCTCATTTCCTGTCAGCTATGACGTGGCCTCCCACTGTAGAGACTACTCTGGGGCTGGCTGATGAGGCACCTGGGTCACGGACTGGTATCTCAGGCAGGGCAGGAAGTCACACACCAGTGGATGTCAGGGCAGAAGGAACTTAGAGATCAACAAGGCCAGAACAGCAGGGCCTTACTCCCCTCCGAGCCCACTACCTGGGGTGGATTTGCTCTAGAAGGTGAGGACCGAGATTGCAACCTGCTTTGCACCTGACCCTGACCCCTAGCACGTGTTCGGGACTCAGATTTCTCACTCACTTCCTGGCTCCTGCTGCTTTCCGGGCTTTGTTCCTGGGTGAAAAAGAGGTGGTCAGTTAAGTGATTGGTTATGCTAATATAACTAGTCAGTGGTGGAGCTGGGATTCACATCCGTTGTACTCTGTTCATTTATGACAGTAATGCTTATTGTATCATTTCCCATTGCCCCTGGGTCTTGGTTCAAGATTTTTCCCACGGGGGCTATGTGGAGTTCATGTCTGCTGTCTTGATTGTCTTCTGAGAGGAGTCTGTTTGGAGGTCTGACCAGTGAGGCCTTCTAGCCCCCAGAAGAAGTTTCCTTCCATTCCAGCTAGGAATGTCTCTTGGCCCCTCTCCTTTTGGTGGCTGACTTATCTCCTTGTTTCTAGTCGCAGGACTGGCATATGGGGTCTGACCTCCAAGGAGAGGCTCAGATCCAGTCTGTGGAGATCTCCCTTCTGGCCCTCTTGGCTACTGTGCGGGCTGTGGAGAGATGGAGTCCCAGGCTGTTCAACTTCAAGGCTTAGAGGTTCGAACAGGGACAGCTGAAAAGAAGCTGGCCAACTGCGAGAAGACGGCCGTGAGGTTCGGGAACTAGCTGGAGGGCAAGTGGGCCGTGCTGGGGACCCTGCTGCAGGAGTACAGGCTGCTGCAGCTGCGGCTGGAGAACATAGAGAACCTGCTGCGCAACAGGAACTTCTGGGTCCTGCGGCTGCCCCTGGGCAGCAAGGAGGAGGACCTCAAGGTACAGGAACTGGATGTGGGTGAGGGGACCTACAGAAGGGTTCTCACACTCATAGTAGAGTAAGGCCCCTTGGCTGCAGAAGTGCAACCTCTTGATGCTTAATGTTAGTCACCAGTTGACTATAAGGGCTTGAAGAATGTCAGAAGGAAAGTATGACACAGGAAAGATGCCTGTTTGGGCAGATGGAATGGGGTTTGCTGGGAGGGATGTGGTTGTGCAGTGATGGTTGTATCTCTTATTCCAGAATGACCTCTGAGAATGACGACTGGCACAGGTAGGGGAAATCACCAGGAAGCCCCTCCATGAAGCCCACATTTGGAATAGAAGATATATGTGTACCTAGGAGAGGGGAGGAGACCCAGGAGCCCTAACCCTGAATCCCTTTAGCTGCTGGTTCTGCCCTTTGACTGTAGCGAACATGGTTAGAGCAGCTTGCATTTGCCCAGTGGTTTGGTCAGCAGTGCCCTCTGGTTTGGAGGTGGGGAGAGGAGAGACTGGAGCTGGTTTTAGCTGTTCTCTGAAATGGTTGTCACTCATGGTGGGTTCTGGAGTATGCATAAAGCAAATGTACTTCACAGAGCCTGGTTTTCCAAAGCCTTGCAGTTTCAAACATTGCCCTTGCAAAGGACAGGAGAATTTCCCCAGGCTATAAAGTCTCTGTTGTAGATAAAGAATTGTAACACAGCAAGGTTGCTGGCTCAAAGACAGACAGGTTACTGATTGATATGTGAAGATACTGGGAAATTGCCGTAAGAAGAGAGTGTTTGCTAAAATCAAGCCTTTGTTGCAAATTACATTATAGAAGGTCACCTTGCTTGACTTAGTGAATGTTACCAGCTTCTATTGTTAAACTTATTAAACTGTACTTAGCAAAACCCCACCTATGTCCCTTCCTGTAACTTGGTAGGCTGGAGAATAAAATGCAGGAAGAGAACCCCAATTCATGGTTAATTTCCCAAATGGAAGGAATGCCTCGCCCTTGAGGGTTCTGGGACATTAACCCCTTTTTGAGGCTTCTTACTGCTCAGAAGAGAGGGGCTTTGACTAATCTTTGGTGGCTCCGTCACCCCAGGGAAAAAAGTTGACAAATCCATGGGAGGCAAAGCAACAGTGGGTGATCTGTATTTGCAGGTACCCGTGACTCCTGAAGATGTGGCCAAGTGTTTCTCAGAGCAGCAGGGGGTAGCCCAGAGGACTGGCCAAAGGAGCTCTGCAGGCATTCTTGCAGGCACGTTGTGAAGGAGAACCTCGAGACCTGGCCTCCCTGGGTGAGAGACTACTTGGGGGCTTCCAAGCCTTGGCTTAATTCCTTTATTCAATCAAATGAGACTTCTGGACCTGAGAGCCAGAGGCACACTGAGATAATTTCATTAACCCTCTGTCTTCAGGCAGGTAGAATTTTCATTTTTAGGTTTTAGGAAATGAAATGCAGAGCGGTTAAATGACTGTCCAAGGTCTTGTGGAGACTAGATATGAACTGGAATCTGCTCCTCTCTGTCCTGCCCTTCACGTGGCACCAGAGGCACCTCTTATGTGCACAGCTCTCCCTCACCAGCCTGTCTACTTCTGGAGTATGGGGGCCTCCCCTACTTTATATTTGCATCCCTAGGACTCCCTGAGCTATACTCTGCACACTGTGAGTTCTCAAGAAACTCATGCTGAATGAAGGATTAATTGTGGGCTTGTTTTTAAGAGTGCTCCAGGTCCAGAAAATGAGGACAAGCTCTGGAATGTTAGTTTCTTCTGGCAAGTGTGTGTGTGTGCTTGTATAAGACTTGAGCAGACCTAGACTAGACCTTTCCCGCACTCCCACTGTAGCCTTTTGCACAGCTGAATTCTCTCACTGCCTTGGGCAGGTGAGCAGTTGGCATTTTGTCCCTTTGTTGGGAGGCAGAGGCCCAGGACATAGTACCTTACTTCCTTTTGCCTCGTGACAGTTTCCTCTTCTAGAAGAGGGTCCCAGTGTGCTGCAGGAGGCAGGGTGATGGAGGATGCTGGCCTCAGGGGAGACAGGGCAGTGGATGGGAGTCCTTTCTTCCAGGCTTGTCTCCTGCATGGCCAGCCTGGCAAGATGGGAGGCCTTGACCCTGTACACTCACTGCCCCCTCTCCACCTTGAACGGGGAGTAGGTCCTGCTGCAAGCCTGGAGGGCACCTGCATCCTTGCAGGCCTGCAGAGGAGAGCCATGTCACTGCCCTTTTTCTCCCCACAGACCATGCCACCACCAAGCTAGAGCTCCTGACCCCTGGGGAGAGGGGAGATGAGGCAGACAGCCACAGCCTGCCTGGCATGGAGGCTGGGGAGAGCCCTGGCACTGGTGAATCCCTCAGGGTAAGGGTGGGCTTGGGCCTCCCACTTTCTTGGTGAAGGCATCTGGTGTCAGGAATCTCCATTTGGAGAAATAGAGGCAGAGGAAGGGGAAGTGAGCTGCTGGACTTCACAGCCGACTGTCAGGGCCAGACCCAGGTGTTCTGGTGCCCAGGGAATGCCTGGCCACATCCCACAATGCTTGTCCCTCTGGAACCATCACTATGGCCTGAGACCACTTAGGGAACTTGTGAGGAAGGGCAGAGGGCAGAGCCTCTGGGTGTCACTCTCCTTGAGGGAAGGGACTGAGTCCTGTTGTAATGCCCCCGCACCCAGCACCTGAAACAGTGCCTGACATGTACTAGGATGGTAATGAATAATTATGAAATGAGCAATGAACCAGAATAGGAGCTCTTTTTTTTTATCTTTCAAATAATAGCATTGGATCAGAATGCAGTTGTCAAAGCTTTTTTTTTTCTTTTAAGGTGAGGAACCCTTTATTCAGATGTCCTCTGGAAACATAACAGGGGAAAATGGGACCACTCTGAAGCAGGGGACAAGAACTCTGGAGCCCTGTTCGCTCGGAACACAAAGGATCGTGCTGAGACACTCCTCCCTGCCTTCTAGATTCTTACATTTTATGTGGGGAGAAAGGTTCCCCTTTGAAGTAGGTTCTTTGAATAGGTAAATGAAGTCACAGTGAGCCCAGTACAGGGAAGAAGCTGGGTATTGACAAAGGTATTGAGTGGCTGGCATGTAGGACTGAGGCTAAAACTAACATTTTCAGGACCCTGCAGGGGTGGGGGCCCCACAGAGAGAGCAGGGCTGAGTAAGGGGCTGGGCACAGCAGGATGAAGACAGCAGCCAGCCTGTGCTGGGAGCCGGGAGCAAGACGCTGGGTGGGCAGCGTGTGGCCCTTGTGGTTTCACTTCATGCCGGTGCTGCAGGGGGCCATATGGTGCTTCCTTCCCTGTGGTGAAGGGAGGGGGGCTGGGCCCAGGCTCCACAGCAAGCCCTGGACAGGCTGGGCCTCTGCAGCAGGTGTGGGCAGGATAGGGGCTTGTTCAGAGGCTGCAGCCGGCGCCGCGGTCCCCAGGGCTGTAGCAGCTGCCAGGCAGATGCAGAGCAGGCAGGGCCTAGCCAAGGTGCCCCTGGGCCAGAGGCCCCCCTGCCCCGGGCTCAGCTCTGCCATGGAGCAGGTTTTGTTTCTGAATGAAGCTCAAGTGAGCACTGGAAAGTGGAGGATTGAGGCTTCCTCAGGGGGTTTGGGGGCTTGGGGGCTGCCCGTGGTCTGGGTACTCCTTGCTGTTTTAGTGGTTTCTTTCTTTCCTGACCTCTCCGTGAGCTTTTCCAGATTCATCAGGAGACAGCTTTGCTTTCTCCCTCACACCCCAGGACTCGGCCTTGCCACTAGGAGCTGCCTGGACATCCTCTGCGGGCCGGCAGTGCAAGGTGCGAGACTGCTTCATCTACGGGGTGTTTCCACAGGCGGATCCTCCTGCCAGAATTCTAGGAAAGGTGTAAACTCGTCTTCATTCAGTAGGCCCGGGTGGACCTGGGCATTGCAGTTCCAACACGTTCCTCAGGTGATTCTGATGTGGTCAGAGTTTGAGAACCAAGGCAGCAGGGTCCTTCTGAACAGGGACTGACCAGCCTCTAACATTTGAAAGTGTTGACATTTTGGTTATGCAAATGTGTTCTTACATTAGTTATGCATTTGTATTCTTACATGAACACATTCTCACTAAGCACTGCGGAGGTTACAGGTAAGGCTAAATGGCTCTCTACTGGCCACCTGCCCCACCCAGCCCTCCCCAGGGGAGCCACTATTATCAGGTTGGCATGTAACCTTCAGGCTAAAACACACAAATTACTGTGCATATCATTGTTGTCTTCACTCAACAATATGTGTTAGGATCTTTCTGTGTTGGTCCTTTTTTTTCTCACTCCTATCTAATTTATAATTAACAGGAGAGTCAGTCATTAAATGAATAACAAAACAGTTAAGCATGATGGAAGAATTCTTTTTCTAGTGCCATGCTTTTGGAGTTCCCACTCTCTGTTGTCCAGTGGACACACCTGCCACGTTTTGAGCCAGCAAGAAATGCTGCGGAAGTGAAGAGCGTGGTCACAGACGCCCCACACAACGGTGCACTCTTCAGAAGTAGCACACGCTTGGTTAGCGTGGCATTCTTGCAAAGATCCTTGATGTGGTTCTCACAGCTGGCACAGTTACCAACTGCAGTGTCCCAGGCCCAGAGGGCTGCTACATTCCAGTTTTTCATGTCAAAGCGCTTCTTGCCCACACCGCTGTCAGTGCTGCTGGGGTATCCACATCCATTGATGCCACCACTTTGGAAACACACAGTGTTGTCTGGCCCCTGCGGCTGCACAGGAGTGCATGCCTCGCTCCCCCCATGCCCTGGTGCCACCTGTGTGTCTCTGTGTTGGTACATTTTGATCGACTTCCTTCTCTGAAGCCTGGTAGGAACTTGGTTTCCAGGGCCCTGGTTAGTCGTGGGGAGCCAGCCTGGTGTGTGGCAGCCAGGCTGTGTGACTGTGTTAGAGGTGCCTCGTGTACAGTGGAGAGGAACAAGCTGTGCCCCTGTAGTCCTGGGTACAAAACCTGGCACAGCGTTCAGTGATGTGGATAGCTGTTAGATACTGGCAGCTTGGAACGTTATCCACTCACTCATTTAACAAGAATTCTTTAATATCCTCCCATACTTGCATGAAATTACTCTCCTTGTACTCCTGAAACTGTTTCCTACCCTGTGTCAAGGCTGGGGCAGGAAGGAGGAGCAATAATTATTCCTTGTTCTTAAGATGGGCCTTAGAGATTGGCACAGATTGGTGAGGTTACCTAGCCTCTGAAAGACATCTACCCAAGGGCACTGTAGGATATATGGTTGGCTGCTGTAACAGAGACTGAAAAAAACAAAACAACCAAAAATAGCTTAGACGAGATAGTGGTGACAGGGCTTATTTGGCAGCTCACAGTGTCACCAACCTAGGCTCCTTCTGGCTTGTCGCTCCACCTTTCCTAGGGCTCACTACCATGTGCGTAGCCATTAAGAAGGAATCAAGATGGGATGCCTTTCCCTTTAAGGCCAATACATCTTTTCTTGTTTAATAAACACACTTTTAATACTTATTGTGTACTTTATAGATGTTGACCCATTTAAGCCTATTATGACTTTTCATTTGCATGTGTATTCATAGATGAAGAAACCCAGGCACTGAGGCCACCTAGCTGGGACAGGCAGGGCCCCTCACCTCCCATTAGACAGAACCTGCCACATGGCACCTTTCTTGCAGGGGAGGTCCTACATGGTCTGTATTCTAGGTGGGCACAGACCCTACAAAACACCAAGTGCTCTGTCACTACTGAAGAAGGGCAGTGTTGGAAGACGACTGACTGTCCCCGTCACAGCCTGCACCCTGTCATTTGCAGGCCAGGCTCCCCCAGCTTGACTACCTGCCTCTTTATGTCTGTGTTCTCAGAAATCCCCAGTATCTGCTCTGCCTTTGCTGGGACCTGTAGTTCTCTGGGGAGTGCCCTGTGGTGTCTGGTCCCAGACTGAGGCAGTGAGAGGAGAGAAGCCCCAGGGCCTCCTCCTCTCTCTTCAAAACAGGCCAGCTGGCATCTCCCCCAGGTGTTCTGACCTGGATCAAGCAGGAGGAAGAGGCTCATGGGAGGAACTAGCAGGGCCCCCAGGAGGTGACTACACACCTGTGCTCAGGTGAGGCTCGGCAGGCAGGGCTGCAGGCTGCATCTCTGGGCTTTAGGAGACATCGGGTCCCTGGGGGTCCGCAAAGCACCTCCAGCAGGGCCTTCTCCTGCACAAGAGTCCTGAGGGGGAGGCAGCGAGCAGGCCAGCTGTGTCTTTTGCCATGTACTGTCCTCCTATAGTTCCGTGAAATTACTCTCCTTTTACTCCCGAAGATGTTTCCTGACTCCATTCCACACACATACATGCCCGTAGCCAGTGTGGTGCTGGGCACTGCAGGGACTTATGTGTGCCTGAGACACAGACTCCCCTTCCAGGAGCTTGCAGTTAGGAGGAGAGAGAAGCCTAACACAGATCGACAGGATAAAAAAAGAGGAAACTTTCTAGAGCCAGAGAGGCCTTTGTGATTCTGAGGAAAATCATGGACAGCATCCCAAGAAAAAGCCCACGTGCTTACAACGTGGATACAGTTGAAGGTGTTCTGTAGTGAAGCTGTGGTAGGGGATGTCTTGTGGCCACGTGTGGCACAGACGAAGGTGCTGTTGGGGGACATGTCACCGTGCTGGCCTTGGGAGGCTCCATGGGACAGGTGAGGCTAGAAGCAGGGGTGAGAGGCAGAGGAGGCCCCAGGCATTCTAGGCGGACAAGACCCTTAAGCCAAGGCCCAGTGCTGGGCTGAACAGGGTGTTTGGGTGACATTAGGTGGACCCTGGCAGAGGCAAGGAGGAGATCACTAGGCCGGAACCAGAGTGAGGGTCCTTAGTGTCAGGCTCATGCTGAGCCTGGGCCTTCAGATATACCAGGAGAGCAAAGGGCGGGGGTGGGGGTGAGGCTTGTCTCCAAAGCCTGTGGTAGAGACCACTCACTGTCCCGTCTGTGTCCCTTTCCAGCAGAGACTTGGCTGGTGAGCCAAGAGAAGAGGAGGCTGGAGGGAGGGTCTGAGAGGCAAGAGCCGGCTTGGGCAGCTGAAGGGGGGCCTGGCAAGGAGGCTTTGGAGGGGGGAACCTTTGGGGATCCGCCTCCTGCCCCCAAGGAGAGGAGGGTGGCAAAAGCTTAGGCCAGACGGAGCTGTGTGTGCGGCAGGACACGGCCCCGGCCACCCTCGCCAGCTACCGCGGCCGAGCGCGCCTGCGTCTGCACGCAGTGCGACAAGTGCTTTGTCCACCGGTCGCCGCGCACCACCCGCCGCCCCGCCCCGCACCACCCAACGGCCGCCGCGCACCGGGGAGAAGCCCGCCGAGTGCGCCCTGCGCCAGAAGCGCTCGGGCCGCCTGTCCACGGTCCACGCTGCGGGGCACCGGCGCACGCACAGGGCGCCACCAGGGTAGCCGTGTCAGCCGGCTCTCTCTGTCTTGTGCGGCTTGTGAGAGGGGCTCCCTGACCATGAGCTACCCGCCGTCCTCCTTTGAAGGCGCAGTGTCGGGAAGGCCCCCCAGTGACCCCTCTGCTGCACCCAGACCTGAGAGCGCCGGGACCCGATCGGGACCACAGCGGGTGCCTTGGGGAGAGACAGCTGAGCGGCTGTGACCTGGAAAGTCTGGGGGCTCCCTAAACAGTTCTCTCTCGTGCGACGATGGAGAGCCCGGGGTAGCACCCAGAGAACTCCCTAAGGGGGCCACTGAGGTGCTTCTTGGATCCGAGCTGCCTCTCTGAAGGGGCACTCGTTCACTGGGTCACAGTATCCTGTGCCGTCGTCTGGCTTTCTCGGGGAAGGGCTGTTCTCCGAGGGACTGCGAGGTGGGCAAAGTGCCCAAAGGACTTCTTGCTTCAGGGAAGCGGGGCCCTGGTTAAGGGCGTAGCCCCAAAGCCTGAGCCTCACTGTGGGGGACCGTTGGGAGTGGGGAATGGGTGTTGGTGGTGGCAAGTGTCTTGCTCTTGCCTTGCTCTACTAAGGGAGTGATTTTGGAAGACACACTTCCCAGTTAGGAGATGGCAATTACTCCGTCCTTTGAAGGGGAGTCAGGGCTTGTTCACTCTTAGCCATACCCGGTGGTTTCCCTATGCTAACTGTGCAGATGCTAAGGTGCTTCTGCAGGTGGACAGGTCCAGGCCAGGCCCAGCCTCCTGTTTAGTAAGCTGAGCTCGAGTGTCCCTCAGGCATGAATTCAAGGGACTTGGTGAGTTGTCACAAGATTTGTGGAACCTTTCCCTGACTTGTCTCCCTTCCTCCCCACTCCCTAGAAGAGGCTGCTTTGTGGGCACATTTTCCCGGAAAGACCTGGGCTGGCTGTGGCCCAGCGCTCATGACCAGCCCTTTTGACCCCTGTAAGACCCTGTCCAGTTGGCATCAGAGTTGCCTTCAAGCCATTGCTGGAGTGGGCAGGCAAAGGGGCCTTCCTGAAGACCTAGCATGTGCCGGCCACTGGGGATAGAAAGAAAACCAAGGCCTGTTATGGGGGCTTGTTATGTGGGCTAGTTATGGGCCTGTGGGGGTCTCTACCATCAACGGTGGACCCTGGGGTGGGCTACCATAAATGTGGCAGAAGCACCTGAAAGTTGAAAGGAGGGGAGGAAGGAAACCTGGACGTGGCCTACGTCAGCTAAGAGCCCCCCTGAGATCCTGGTGGCCCCTGCCCCATCTGAGCGATTTAGGCTAATAACTTGGGCTTTTCACATGGGTTCTCATGGGTGGCTGTCCAGTTTGGGACCCTGCCATTTTGATAGATTTGTTTCCTTAGCTGCTGGGGATCTCAGCCAAAACTGGACTCCAGCTGTGATTCCCACTCCCCTAGAACCCCCTGGAAGGTCAGAGCCCCAGCTGCGAGATAATCCTGCCACTCCCCACCCCTCCTTGTGACCCTAAGTACTTCAAGTGTATCCATGTGTGTTTCTGAGGACTAGACCTGGAGAAGCTGCTGCCATGTAGACCATCTGCTTCACTGGAAGGCATGTGACAGATGTTAGTAAACTCGGGAGGACTCGGGCAGATGAGGCGGTTTCTCATACTGGCTCCCGGGCTCTTGTGTCTGTATCTTGAGTTGGTTTTTATTGGAAGCTCTGTAAATTGCCATAATCATTTATAACCTCTGTAAATAAGGAAATATTTATGAGGAATTGTAAATTTCCTCTCTCGGCTTTCTTACCCTGACAGTGATTATTCTCATTTGTGATGCACGAACAATATTTGACTCCAGGTTTTTATGACCTGCAGTGAATTACAGTTATTTTCAACTGTGCTTCCATTTTGAACTTTCAAAAAAAAGTACTGGATGGACTGACGTTAAGAACAGGGCTTCAAAGTGTTGATTAAAATGATCGGAGACGCGGAGGAAGACGCAGCAGACGAGACGCAGGTGAAGAGCGGGGGCCACTGCTCTCTCAGGCAAGTAGCACCGACCCAGCCGCTGTTACAGCGTTTATTACATTTAGCAAGCTAGTGCATGCGAGATAAGCATTAATGCATAAATTCTGTTATACTTTTCTCAAGAGCAGAAGGCCGCTACCTCCCTTCTCAAGCACTTGGTTATCTATAATGCGCCTCCTGGGAACATCCCAAGAAAGTGTTCTCACGACTTCAAGCATTCTCAAGGATCGTTTGCAATCCTTGACACTTCTCGGTTAACTCGTTTGCGAGTTCACCAAGTGAACACGTCCTTGGGTGCTGTCCACAGAAGTCCATTAACCATTTCCTTCACAAAGACAGGCAGAATCTAGGTGGGCTTGGGGGGCCAGCCTGTCAATGCCTGGGAGCAGGACCTCAGTGTCCAGCACTGTGTCCAGCCCACAGAAAGCACCTTCTGTTTGTGGGATGAATAAAAATGTTTCCAGAAGTGGTGCCATATCCAATTTTATTGTCATTGATCTGATGCCCATTTTAATGCTTCTTGACCACTTCCTACCTTGAATTCTAGTTATTTATACATTTGCTGTATTTTATTGAGTCTAAGGTCCATTGATTGTAAGACACATCTTTATTTTTTATTTTACTAAACATGGAAAAAGTGCGTTTATTTCATTGTGACATTCTATTATCAATGTGAGATGTTAAGTGTATCCCAACTGTAGACGTGTTCCCAAATTGGGAAAAATACATGTATGGTAGTTATCCTTTCAAGAAGTGATAACTAGGTAGGTGGCTGACTTGTCAGCCACTAGTTAATATTCTTGACAATGTCAAATCAAAAGATTCATTTTTAGACAAAAGTCCTAGAAGTGTTGAAGTGAACCAGGAACAATGTTGGGTCTTATCGAGATGGGGCTACCAATAATTCAGATCCTGGACTGGTCTTGAATTTGACCTGGCCTTTGCCATTAGGAATTTCATCATTTCTCTTGGCACCAGGGAGCTCAGTTCTGTGGCAGTAACTCCTCTCACCAACCCCAGGCTACAGACAACAGTCACCCTGAGATACCTGTGTCACCCTTGCCTTAATAAGAAGTGCATCCCTATTGCAGTGATAGTCCTCTGATCCTCCAGGAAAGAAAGGTGGTGGGTTCTCTGGTCTCACATGGTAAATCCATTCTAACATTCTGCTTGGGCATGATTCAGTCCCAGCTTTCACTTCAAATGTGACGGTATTTGAGTACGGGGCCTTTGGGGGAGGTAATTGGGTTTAGATGAGATAATTTAGATGATGGGATTAGTGCCCTTGCAGGAAGAGGAGGAGACACCAGAACTCTCTCTGCCATGTGAGGACACAGTGAGAAGGTGGCTGTCTGCAAGCCAGGAAGGGAACTTTCTCCAGGACCCGACCATGTTGGCACCTTCATCTCAGACTTCTAGCCTCCAGCACTGTGAGAAATAAATTGCTGTTGTTTAAGCCACCCAGTCTATGGCATTTTGTTATGGCAGACTGAGCTAAGACACATTTCCACCCTCAAGAGCTTTCTGATCCCTTCTTCATTACTATGCTTCTCTAGAACTTCCTGTTCATGTCCTGTAGGCCATTGTCATGCCCAAGCTTCAAGGAGCCTTCAGCAGATGGTTAAGACTGGCTCCAGGTCACCTTGCTGGAACATTGAATCCAGAGTCATGGGGGAGGGCATCCGTGTTGGTGAATTCTCTCCTATCCAGCCTCATATCCGCCCCCTCCCCAGTGATCCAGACCCACATGCTTTGCTCTGATTGCTGCTGGCACGTTGTCGTGGGTTGAATTGTGTCTTCCTCAAAAGATATGTTGAAGTTCTAGCCCCTCGTACCTGTGACTGTGACCTAAGTTGGAAATAGAGTTTTTGTAGATATACTTAAGATATAAATTAAGATGACGTCATGCTGGACGAGGGTGGGCCCTTAATCCAGTATGACAGGTGTCATAAGAAGAGAAGATGGAAAGACATCCCATGCTCCTGGATTGGAAGAATCAATATAGTGAAAATGACTATACTACCCAAAGTAATATACAAATTTAATGCAATCCCCATCAAAATTCCTATGACATTTCTCTCAGAAATGGAAAGAACTATACAGTCATTTATCTGGAATAACAAAAGACCACGAATAGCCAAAGCAACGCTGAGCAAAAAAAATAAAGCTGGAGGTATTACTCTACCTGACTTTAAACTATACTACAAAGCTATAATAACCAAAACAGCATGGTACTGGTATAAAAACAGAGACACTGATCAATGGAATAGAATAGAATACCCAGAAATCAACCCACGCACTCACTGCCATTTGATCTTCGACAAAGGCATTAAGCCTATTCACTGGGGTCAGGACTCCCTCTTCAGCAAAGGGTGCTGGGATAACTGGATATCCATATGCAGGAGATTGAAACCAGACCCATACCTCTCACCATATACTAAAATCAACTCAAAATGGATTAAGGATTTAAATATACACCCTGAAACAATAAAACTTATTAAAGAAAATATAGGAGAAACCCTTCAGCAAATAGGGCTGGGCACAGACTTCATGAATATGACCCCAAAAGCATGGGCAACCAAAGGAAAAATAAACAAATGGGACTATATCAAACTGAAAAGTTTCTGCACAGCAAAAGAAACAATTAACAGAGCTAAAAGACAGCCAACAGAGTGGGAGAAAATATTTGCAAAATACATGTCTGACAAAGGACTAATATCCAGAATATATAAAGAACTCAAACAACTTTACAAGAAAAAAACAAGCAACCCAATTAAAAAATGGGCAAAAGAGCTAAGTAAGCATTTCTCTAAAGAAGATATGCAAATGGCCAACAGTCATATGAAAAAATGCTCAACATCACTCAGCATCCGGGAAATGCAAATCAAAACCACACTGAGATACCATCTCACCCCAGTTAGGATGGCCAAAATCCAAAAGATGCTGAAAGATAAATGCTGGTGTGGTTGCGGAGAAAAAGGAACTCTCTTACATTGTTGGTGGGAATGCATAATGGTGCAACCCCTATGGAAAATGGTTTGGAGGTTCCTCAAACAGTTGCAGATTGATCTACCATATGACCCAGCTATTTCACTGCTGGGAATATATCCAAAGGAATGGAAATCATCAAGTCGAAGGTATACTTGTTTCCCAATGTTCATTGCAGCACTCTTCACAATAGCCAAGAGCTGGAATCAGCCCAAATGTCCATCATCGGATGAGT